AGAGAGAGAGAGAGAGAGAGAGAGAGAGAGAGAGAGAGAGAGAGAGAGATCATCAAGCATTCCTCTCCTTGCAGGTACTGAGCTGATCGATGATTTGCTTACTGAGTTTAAATAATTTACTTCTAGACACACAGTAGCGTGAGAGCCCATATATGAACCCGTGACTCTTCCTCTTTGTCTATATTACACCGTGACTATTTTCTCCCATTCTTTCAGACTCAGATCTGGACAGAGAACGTTCTATAACTGTATGAGATTTCTACTTACAAACCTAAGGTATAGGATATTCACTTCTCTTCTTCAAATCTGGTTTTTCATCCAAAAGTTCACCCACAGATTCCCAGCACTTTGCTGGAACCAGAGTTATTCTAGTGACTACTTTTGTCAGGTAATCAAATGTTTTCGTAAATTAAACTTAAGGAGTTATTCGTCTAAGCATCGCCATTGTCACCCTTCCCAATCTTCCTGGATCACGACTATGAGCAGACGGGATGCCTAGCATACTGCCCCAGGAAGCAGAGTGGTTCAAGGCAGGAAAGACTTGATCAATTGGTAAAAATCAAATGCTTCTCTTTACTAGGGATAGGACTGAAGTCTTGAATTTTTTAAGTATTAAATTAGTATTCATCAGATGCTACTGCTTATGGTCATGACTATAAATTCAACACCTTTAGATTCAAAATGTATAGCCCTGGGTTCTTTCCTGTTTTATCTGTCACTTATTAACTCTGCTTACTAATCCTGACAAACATTTGACGGCAATTTTTTCTGGCCTGTCTGTGGTTCTTACCTGCTTACTAAGACTCCGGATACCACCTGAGAGCTCTTAGGTGGCCGCTCACTAACCCTGACACACAACCTTGACTCTCCTCACAGACTTCTTGCAGGAAGTCAGCCAAGTTTCAGGGAGATGAATATCTGTCTGTTTCCTTTTGACTCACTGAAATGTGAGTAAGTGTTTGGAACAGACCCTTGTTTGGGAGGCAGGATAGTTCCCTTTATGTGTCACAGGAATCTGTGCTTTGTATCTAGGTGCTGGATAGGAAAATGCACCCTACTTGGCTTTGGTTCTCAAAACTGGGCAAATTAACATTATTCTGGCATGAAGTACAGGGGATATATTTTTCCAGAGCAGGCAAAAATTTTAAGGAACAGAGAACAAACTTCTGCCTCACATTAATTTTAAGAGCATAAAGGGTTCCTGAGACAAAACAGTTTGAGAACCCCTACCTTCATCTTCTAGGAGCTATTCTGCCCAGGTGTGGTTGTGCTAAGCTTCGCATTCTGAGCAGAAGATAGAGAAGAGTAAGCCAGGGCTTCTCAAACTCTTTGGTCTCAAGAGTCCTTTACACTCTTCAAATTATTGAGGATCCCAAAGAACTTTTATTTATGTGAATTATTACTAATGGATATTTACCATATAAGAAATTAAAACATAATTTTTGAAATATGTATGTATTAATGTATTTTTAAATAACAAAAAGTTCATTACATGTTAGCATAAATAACGTGTATTATGCAAAATAACTATATTTCCCCAAATAGAAAAATCCATGAGAAGGGTGGCATTGCTTTAACATTTTCGCCCATTTTTTAATCTAGCTTAAGAGCAGACACTTGGATTCTCCTGTCTGCTTCTGCTTTCAATCTATTGCAATATGTAGTTTTGGTCAAGGTATATAGTTAATCCGGTGTCACACAGATATGTACTTGCAAAAACAAGAGACAATGCCGGATAATGCTCTGATACTACAACAAAACTCAACATGCTGTAGTTTCTTAAAGAATATTGCGGTGTGGAATCTGAAACCATATCGATGACTTTTCCTAGTCTGTGGCATGAAAATTCACAGGCTGACATCTCCCTGTCCCCGCCCCTTCCTTTCTCTGTTAGTGCCCAGTGGTGAAGAACGCCAGGTTTACCAGCCCTCTTCATTGTTCTTGCACCATCAGGGCAAATGTCAACTCAGGGAGAAAGACAAATAATGTTTCTGTATTGTTCTAAGAGTAGTTTTGACTTCTCTGACCACTTGAAAGAGTCTTGAGACACCCAGAGACCGCACACTGAAAACTGCTGGGGTGGAGTGAGGCCTTTTCCTCCTCTTCTCATTCTCTTAACTTCAGGCAGGAGTTTTGGGAGTGGAGGGAAGTCAGATGAGTTTTTCCCAGTGTTTTCTTCTGATCTCTTTTATCTTCATATCCTGCTCTTCTTTGCTTACCTCATTTCCACATGTTCAGTCACTTAAACCAGAAACCTCTGCTTTTTTTCCCAGGGCCACCAACAGGCCACCTTGCCACCACACCATACCAATTCTGTCTTTCCCTTCTACCATAGTTATCTGTGCCATCTTTTATTTTCTGTTCCTCTCCCACTAAATAATCTCTGTGCTTTCTCCTCTCCCATCTGCAGCCCACCGTTTATACCTGTCATTACAGTTATCTCTCTAAAATGCAAGATTGATCTGTTGAAAACCTTTGGGTGTCTACAGGATAAAGTTCAAGTGCCTTAGCACGTAAGCTCCCAGTTAGGCCCCAACCTACCTCTGCAGTCTCTTTCACCATTTTTCCGTCTTGCACGCTATGTTTAGGCCAAATTCAACTGTTCACCTGCCTGCCTTTCCAATTCCTCCTTGCTAATTCCTTAGTTATTTTTTTCTGCTTAGAATGGCTTTCTCTTTTATCTCCATTTCTTCAAATTTTACTTCAAGTCTCCTGTCCGATTTTGTATTATCTGCCCAACTTTTCCTATCCCCTTAATTGAGAGCCAATTATTCTTCTTTCTTGGTTCTTGGATCCCCTAATTTGCTTTCTATTTTTCAAATCATCTTTCTTTTGAATGTATTATGGTGGGACTTTTATGTGTATACTCTACTTTCTTACTTAAATGCTGGATCTCTGAAAACTTTTATGTTTATATTACAAAAGCCTGGTCCTAAACTTGGTAAATAATAAGTTTCTAATAAAATCATTATTACACTAGACTGAATTTTCTAACAGTTCCATATTTTTCTCCTTTGGCCTGAAAAGGGTATGAATGTGAAATTCTATGTAAGTCCTGGAAATTTTAAAATGAAATGACCAGTGGCTCCTCAGACATTACCAATTGAGCCCATATGACTGAGTAAAGCTAAGAATCCATTGAGCTTGACTTACCACAGGTCTCCAGACACTGGCTGAGTTGCATAATGTCCAAAAATAACAGAGAAACTTACTATTTAAAATCAGACAAAAAAAGTAAACAAAAATAAAATAATTCTGTGTTCTCCAGCTCCCTGGACCCATCAATACACCTATGAATTTTATTCATACTTCTAGCGCTACTAAGGGTGACTGTCCTTACTTGTTTTCATGTGTGTGGCAAATGTGCAAAATAATCTGCTGGCTCTGCCCATAGGGCTTTCTCAGTCTTCCATGATCCCTCTCTAGAAGTCACTGAGTGGCGTTATCCTGCCTCCTAGTCACTTCAGCAGACAACTGCCCCAAGCTGGACTAATCGGATTCTTTCTCCCAGGAATTTGTATTCAGAGTATAAACATTCTAGAGTCTTTGCTGAACACATGGACTAGGAATTCATGTTCACTTGGGACATCCGTTTTCTTTAATGATTATACAAAGAGTCAACCTTCAGCTATTCACAGAAAGCAAAGATACAGAGATGAGAGACCAAGAAACTGAGGTATGTACAAATGAGAGAGAGAGATTGTTTTAGTTATCTCTTTCTATTTTTTGTTTCCAGTAGTTCGTGAACTCTAGCTGTCCTTCCTACCTTAAATTCCATGAAATGTCCCTTATCCTTCTAATAATTTCTTTTTTTCTCTTAAGCTAGTTTGAACAGGTTTCTGTTCCTTGCACTGGATTAACTTTAAAACAAATTTGTCCCTCCTATAGGAAATCCTTAAGGAGAGTGAACATGTCTCATTAACTTCTTTTAGTCACAGTCCCTAGAATGGTCTGATACAGAGTTGATGATACTCAATAAATGTTTGTTCCACTATGAATAAACACACTTGTTCCGCTGAGGCTGATGTCTTATTTAGTTAAGATGAACCAGAGAAAAAAAGTTAAGTTTCTCTTTTAGAACATGGAAAAGCTCAGTGATGGGGAAACATTGTTCATATGTACTTCAGATTTTTTTTTTTTTAAACTGTCATATGATGGATTATGGCTGCTTATGGCTATCTGCTGCTTTGCTGTCTCTGGAAAACTTGGATGTTCCATTTAGGAATCAGTTATTTTTCA